TAGAATATCAGTGCACGCTGTGCTTTCACTTCTCTGAACTACTAAAATATGACGTCATAATGGAAAATGACGTCAAGTCACTGCCAACTTGAGGTGTAATGACGGGGAGAGTGTCATGAACTTTACACTATTTCAAACTGCATGTAAAATGCTAGGTAGCTATTGCAAAATTCACTTGTCGTTAAAGGTTTATTAAGTCTTGTATGTCCGAATATTTTTTAAAAAACGTCGCTTACCTACCCTTGATTGAAACATTTTCAGAATGCTTATGAAAGATAAACTTTTGAAATCTAATCTGTGTTATTCCCGTGGTTAGAGGTAGAATTTATTTTGTGTATTTAAAAGAGTCTGGCGTAGGTGATTAATGAGGATTAATCTAAGGTTTTTTGCGGAAATCTGTAAGAAGAGGTTGTTGTCTATCTGAATCTTGCTTGGGAAAAGGTAAGTTGAATTTCTCACGAAATATTTTGTAACCAAGAAATACCATGATTTTTCCCAAGCACATTTCGGGTACACAAGGATACGATGAGTTTATTTATATAACAAAATGTTTATAATTATTGTGTTAATCGGCTGCCCCAAACCGATTTATTTAAAACACTTTCAAAATTATAAATGACTTTCACGTGATCAACAGTCATGTGATATCATAAAAAATATATTTATATATAGCCGAGGGAACCCTCTACATTAATTGGAAGTACTAAAGTACAATACTTATAAATTAAAACCCAAACCGACCTTGCAGTGAAATATTATGTTTTGAGCGCATTTTAAAGCTTCAGGAAGCCTTAACATAGCTGCGCACGTCATTACTGGTTACGTAAATACATGTATAATTAATAATTAGGACTTCCATTCATTTTGAGAGCCAAACTTATGGAACCCCGATCTTTCAAACTGCGTCATAATTTCATAAATTTTATGAATTCTGTAGAAGTTTACACTAGACGATTGACCAAATATGAAAAAAGCCTTGACACTTTTTTCAGAATGGATTAAATGTATAAGGTGGATGTTGAAATCTCGCATTAAGCGATTTAGGGGCAATATGAAAACCATCTATGGATTACATGATCAGTATGTAACGGTCCTCGCTGACAAAGCAGGTAATAATATTGTCTTGTTTGTATAGCTCATTATTTGAGTTGTATTTTTACATTTTGCAAGTGGTAATCTAATATGTACCCATAGTTCCCTTTCTAAGGAAAAGATTCTTAAAAACCATACGTCAGTTTTAAATATCTTCAATATTTCTAATATTCCCAACAATCAAAATAAATTTGAATTACCGTACGTATTCTGGATCCAATAACTCTATAAAAATCGTTACAAAGAGACATAGTGGACTCCAGTAAATGTTCTACCAAGCCTCTTTCTTTACTCCTCACTGAAATATTAACAGCAGTGAAGGAGAGACTTCAGGAGTACTGCATAACAATATATTTGAGAAGTAGTGTAAATCAGATGTGGATACTTAAAGACTTAAATGAACTTTTAGAAAATTTTAAATAACAAAATTTTATTAAAATCAATAACATCAAAAGGTACAACTTTTCAACACTTTTTGCAACCATTCCCAACGATAAATTGAAGTCCAGGCTTTTTACATCACTGACAGCTGTATTTTTAAGAAAATGGAACTCTGAAATATACTCAACTTGTCATTAGTCGCTGGCGTGGCGAAGTGGTAGAGAGTCTGCTATACAGTCGCGGAGTAAGGAGTTAATCCTTACGTCATGGGTTCGAATCCCACTGTGGGACGTCGATACCGGTCCTTCGGATGAGATCACAAGTACTCTGAAACTGATATTAAAAAGATACTTGAGTTTCTGACTGAAAATATCTCTGAAGTTTTTAGAGAACAGAATTTCAAACAATCTTTTGGAACTGCCATGGATACCCATTGCACCCCGTTATTAACAGACCTATTTTAATTCATATGAGGCAGAATGTATTCAAAAGCTTATGAGAAGAAGAAAAAAAACTTCAACTCGACATTTAGATATATCGACGACGTAGAACCAATTAACAATAATTCAACTACTAAAAACGTATGCTTCATCAATGAAATGCAATATATGCTTGGCAGGAAAAGAGTAAACTTTGAGAGGCAAAAAGATATCCCTTCTGTTTATAGACAAAAGATGTTTCAGATCGCTACTATTGTTCTCTCTCTCTCTCTCTCTCTCTCTCTCTCTCTCTCTCTCTCTCCATATGTACATCAGCGGATGCAGAGATGGGGTAAACAATTATTACATCACTTTAAAACGATAAAAATGGATCGAGATGAATAAATTATAATGTTTTTTTTAATGCTCAAATTCTTTCGTTTTCCATAAATAATGTAAGTATAAATTAATCTAAAACTTATCTTTGTATAATAACATTAACAAAACAAAAAACGAAAGCTTACTACGAGAAATTATCAAAAAAATCGTGAACTAACTCCATAAAATTAAAACCGCTTGAGGTACATCAATAATTATTTTTACGTATTCAATAAAGGTCATCTTTTTCTATCGATAGAAATTTAACCCGTAAAATCTGGCTATCATAACGATGTAATTTCAATGATGCTTTGAATAATATATGATGTATTTTTGTTATTCTTTGAGGGAAATTTACTCCTTAGATAGTTTCTATTTTCCAAGTGTAATGTTTGCTTTTTGCGTGGATAATATAAACTGTTTCAGTAACATTTCTTGAGAGGAAATTTAACCCGTAGAATTTTGATATGATTCATACTAAATACTACGTACAGCTCTCGCGCCTTCGATGCTTGGGCGGATGTAACATGTTATGGATTTTTGAACAATAGATGTCCTATTTATAATTTCACTTTTCTCAAATTATAAATGCATTCCAAAATCAAAACAGAAAAACTCTTTTCTTTGTTTTAAGCACTTCCCCTAAGGCATTGACAAAATCTAATAAAAAGCAAAATTTTAAAAGGTATTTATTGTTTAGATTGTAAAAAATATAGCATTTTCCAATATAAAGACAATCTTGCGTCACAAATAAAATGAAATGTAAGCATTTAAGGGAATTAAATACTGACAAAACATCATGAACATATTCACAACAATAGGAAAAATTTTCCAATTTATGATGGTTAGACACTATAAGTCGAAAATCAACCGTATAAGTAGAAATTTTAGCAAGGATTCAATTTCGGCATTTTTAGCGAGGGTGTTGAGATCGCTAAAATTAAAATCAAATACTGATTTTTAATGACAAATCGCTAAAATTGTGTCTTGCTAAAAATTCCACTTATATGGTTTGTTACAGTATATCTATTCGCAACAAAAACAAACTGAACCTCTTTCTGAGAAAAAAAGACGGTACGGGGTAAATTTACCTCCCAGGAATATCACTAATACAGTATTCACTCCTCGTAGAAAACGCGATCTTCAGAAAATAGCGGAATTCTAAAGTGTTACTTTCCTCTCTACAATGACATTGATAAAGTTTATGCATAGTAATTGAAAGCAAAAGCAACCATCTTTATGATAGCAAGACTTTACGGGGTAACCCCCCCCCCCCCCGCCAAAAAAAAAAAAAAATAAATAAATAAACAGTGATGCAGTATGTATAATTTGCAACATATTGAAGGTAGCAAAAATCTACAGGGTAAATTTTCCCCAAAAAGAATATCAATAATACAGTATATGATATTCAAAGCATGATCTAATAGATGGATTGTATGTTGTTTTACGTCCCATTCGAGAATTTTTTACTCATGTAGAGACATCACCATATACCGGTGAAGGGCTTCAAATTTTGTCCTTTACTCGGCACTCAGGGTCATTGAGCTGTGAGGAATCTTTATCGTGCCAATACCTGTCGTGACACGGGGCCTCGGTCTTAAGGTCTCATCCGAAGGATCCGCAACTTTCACTTCAAATTGCCGAAGGCGAAGGAACAGTTGCTACCCAGTTTTTATCGACTTAGGTCAGTCGTGGCCGAAATTCGAACTCACGACCTCCCGATCACGGAGCGAGCGCTCTACCGACTGAGCTACCATGAACGGTTGATCTATTAGAGAGACTTACGGGGTAGATATCTCCTCCAAAAATATCACCTACACAGTACTAATGATTCGCAACATTTTGAAAATAGTATCAATTATTCAAAGTATTTAATATGTAGGTTCATATAAAGTCAATTAAGAATGTTTCGTGCATGATATGTCCTTATCAAATCAAATTGAGCAAATTTAAGGTCATTTCAAAAATACATAAGTCAACAAATTCTAATAAAGAAACATTTTCAAGTTATATTTGAATAAAATCAGGTTTTAAACTTCATACAAATGTCGCTTCTGGACATTTGATATGGATTTTTTTGTCGCCGAAGCGATACGTGGTATGGGTTTTCGGACCGGTCTTTGCTGTGAAGTATCGTGATGACATTTGTATCGCACACTGCAGAATCGTGAATTTACTACTAAGTATACGACATATAATGGCATAATATGAAACATATTTCCTGTTCTCGATATATATCTACAGTAATACACACGGCCTTCAAAGTATATATATTGATAAGGATAGAAGAAGGCTTATCGGAGTCGTCGCCGATAGAGACATTATCACGTCGTGAAGTAGGTCGACAAAGAAAACAGCTTATGTCAAATGGCGCAGGCTCTCAATCTACGTGGTCAACATTTCATTACTTGTGAGAGGTGCGAAGATAATGTCCAGTTCTATTGCAGACCGTGTAACATAAGACTTTGTGTAAAATGTGTGTCTCCTCATTTGGAAACGAACGCACCAGACCATAATATTGTGTATTATCACAAACGATTGGAGGCTGTAACAAAATATCTTCACGACCCAAAAGTATTGAAAACAATACCCTGTGGATATCATGCAATGCTCTGCATACGATATGCAGAGAAGAGCCATATATTCGTAAGTTCGCATGTTTCGGATGTTATTAAGCTCTTTCATACAAATGGTACTTTATTAAATACGCTTACACCGCGTTCTTTGGCCATGTATTTGACTCCATATGAGGACGGCGTGTTGTATACAGGTACTGGGGGAATAAGGAGAATCAATAATGATGGTGATCAGTTATTTTTACCAATGGAGGGGAATTTAAGAGGCATTACATTTGTAGAACCTAATACAATATATGTCTGCAAGGGGTCCGAAGTTGAAAAGCATACCACTGGAGGTACAATGCTTCTAAGTGTTAAATACAACGACCAAGGGGACCAGATGTATAGAAACGCTGAAAATATTTCAATAAATGGAAAAGGGGATATTTGTGTGGCTGATTATGATTCCGCTGGGAACACCGATTCTCACTCTGGAGTTACTGTGGTTGATAAGTTTGGGAAATATCGCTTCTCATACTCTACAAAACCTCCCTCTTGGATAATGGATCTTTGTTGTGACTCAGGTTTCCACATAATCATTGGTTATATATCTAACACAATACACGTAATAGACAAAGATGGTCACTTTCTGCGAAAACTGGAATATAGTGGAATTGATAAACCTTGGAGTGTGACCATTGACAATGAAGACAATCTCTTTGTTTCTCAAATGCATGACGATTTTTTAAGAATGATGAAATATATGTACTAATCACTCCTAAGCAGTGTAAGTACAATGCTCCACGGAAACACGTATAATTCATTTTATTAACGGTGATTAATACGTGTAAAGCATTTTCAAAAGTTCATATGTATTTTATTGGAAAGATTGATTGATTGATTGTATGTTGTTTAACGTCCCTCTCGAGAATTTTTCACTCATATTGAGACGCCACCACTTACCGGTGGAGAGCTGCAAATTTTGTCCTATACTCGGCACTTACGGCCATTAAGCAGTGAGGGATCTTTTTCGTGCCAACACCTACTGCGACACGGGACCTCGGTTTATACGGTCTCATCCGAAGGACCGGTCTCCACGTCCCACAGTGGGATTCGAACCCGCGACGTAAGGATCAACTCCTTACTTCGCGACTCTAGAGTAGACGCTCTAACCACTGCGCCACGCGGGCGACTTTATTGGAAAGAAAAGTTTGTTAAAGCTTTCATGCACTTAGTTTTTGTCAATATATTTGTTTAAATTTTCAATTGATATAACTTTAAATTCACCGGATAAAATCTGACTTTAAGGTTTTTTAGGAGAGTATTACAAAATGATACATTTTTTAAATAGCTACCGTCCCATTCCATTACTCCTGTTCGGCAGTTTGATTTTTCCCATACAAGATACCCGGATAATCAAAGCATCATGATAAGTGAATGAGTTCTAAATGAAGTCCATGCTTGATGCAATACACATGATATCAACTTTTTCTTTTTTTCCTTCGAATAACCACTGACGAATTTGGTTATTTAAATGGTATTGACTGATAATTTTGAAAATTAAAAATATTATCAACCGGCCAATTTAATAACAATATAATTTTTTTTGATTAGTTTAGTTTTGTTTTAAACGAAACACAAGTGTATTTTATGAAATATTTATGACAGATTAAATGGGATTGCGTAGTAGGCTGAGCTAATCTGAACCAACAATTAAGTTAGTTTTAAAAGACACAATACACAATGTTAAGTTCAAGTACATTGTTGAGGATTTAAGCAACGTTTTACTGTTTGAAAATTTACAAACAGGATGTTTTCCTTAGAGTGTCGTCACTATAGATCCACAAATAGAATATCTCAAGATTGTGTCCTTCAATGAAGTTCCGGAGACGTCCGGGAGAACTAAAGAATAAAGGCTTCATACCTAACGATAGACAATGATCAAAATTCTGCTTCACAATAAAGTTCAATCAATTAAATAAAGACTTTAGATCCATTCCTCAGTTGGCTCTTGAGCAGGTGACAGGCTTAGTAATTAGCCACATCTATTCCATATGTTTAGCGGGTAGTGAAACATGAGTTATGTCTTTTTTTTCATCTAAATACCTCAATTTAGAAACTGAAAATGTAAATGTGGCTCTCTCAGATGGAGTACCTGAAATATTTTTACAACAATTTAAGGGTATCACACTGTTTTTAAATTATATCTCACTTTTGCATTGCAAACATGCAATTACAAAAAGTGCTCTTCTTTATAATGTTTCAAAATTTGTCTCAACTTTGTAAATAAATGAAAAAAACCGTAAGGACTGCTGATATTCCCTAAAAGATAGTGCTATCTGGAAAAAAGGATGTAGATACATATAAACCAAAGATTTTAACTCACCTTAGCAAAAGGCTTAAGAAAGCTTTTCTGTTCGAAGGGTGTACGTCGTCTGTCGTGTGCTTTGTGTCTTCTGTCGTCAGTAAACTTTGGCCGCCGGGAGTAGATTTGGGCCACAACAGGGTAGCAAAATTTTGCAAAGCAATAGATAGGAAATACCTTTTTTCAAGCTCGATCAGAAATGGTATGATAAGAATATTTATAGTATCAAAAAATGGTAAAATACTTGAAGAAAGTATTGCGCACTTTACTTTTATTATGCCCGTGCAGTTTCAGATTTTACGCTATATTGCCTAATTAATTGCAAAAAAATTGATATCAGTTTACAGTATTTTGAAATGAAATTTTGAGGACCATATGAGTTTAGATAATTTTTTAGTATGTGCTACATTTGGTTTGTTTGCGTTTTCATTTTTTTTTTTTTTTTTTTTGAAACTGTTCCTCATTTGGCTGAGGAAAATATCATTTAGTATGGGCTACGAGATATAATTAAACCCATCCTTAAAATTAGAACCTGAAAGTCCATTCTCTATTTGAAATAAACAGATTGTCCTTTTGCATTCAGATGTGTTAGTCTTCAACCGTAGAAATACCAGGAACTGTGCAAAATAAAAATAAAATCATGACCGCTCCAAAGAAAAGAAGTCTATACAATAATGACCTTCATTTTTTAAACTAACATAGACGGATTCCAGTGTTCTGCCAACCAATTTCCCTTTTGACATTTTTGCAGACTTTTTATATAGTAACATAACACTAATTTTGGGGACTTTTATATCTGATTAAGACAATTATTTTAACCATAAATATTTTATCTCTTTTACCTAAAATGCAGCCATGAATTGTGTTATGATGACGAACAAAACAATTGGAATGGAAAACGTAAGTCAGCATTCGACTTAATGATAGCTTGTACTTACTGACAAGGTCATTGTATCGACCATAGAACTTGCGAAATGATGACTTCAAACGGCTATTGATATCCTTGTTTTATCAACATGTTCTTCAATAGCTTGCCTCTTTTTAGAGAGCGTTCGTATACGTAAAGCATACACTTGCGTATCGAATCAACTGAGATAACCCAATTTGCATGTGATAATGGTGTATTTCTATACAAGGAAGGGAAAATGACGATAGAAAAATTGAAATCATCATGTTTATTATAAAATTTTGTTGTTAGGTTACCATTAACTTCTTTTTTCTAATTAAATATCTAAATATATGAAACAGATGTGTTAGACTCCATCTATTTCATTACAACTCTTAATGTGCTTCTTGTTATTTAATCAAGATAATGATGGTTTAACCCTAACTGGTGCCATTTGTACAGGCCCAGAGGTGCTAATTATACCCTCAGAGGGTATATCTACCCGTCTGCAACAGGTCAGGTGACGGTCCACAGTGAATAATTTTAAAACATAATTAGTTTCATTTCTGCATATTCAAAATCTTTCTATGAAGATAGTCATATCATTTTTAATTGATTTAAGTCAGGAGCTTAGGAGTTTTGTGAACATTAGTAAAGATTTGTTTTTTGGACGTAAAATGGTCATATTGTTTCAGAAAAGCACATAATTCCATAGAAAATTTGACCAACAATACATTTGTGTATTTGTGGATTGTTTCAACTTATAACAGAAACAGGAAAGTTTAAACACTACTTTAGCAATATTGGACTCTACTTGTATATCTGAAATTTGTAACAAATCATATTTTGACTTCTTGCTGTGTCCTCTTGGAATCGAAGACAAGATGGTGAGAAAACTATTTTGCACTGGGATATAATTTTGGCTCAATTATCCGTGACACAACGTAAATCTTATCAATCAATATAACCAAGCTTAAATTTCGATTTTAATTTTGACTATTTGATTATTAATGACAGGTGATACAAACAACAAAAATCGTGAAAATTACAACTTAAATCCTGTTTATATGACATTGCGCTGTGTCAATGATTATAATCTATCATTGATAATGATAGGTTTAAATAATTATGCACACAAAATGGCATAGTCATTCAACCATGAAGCTTGGGCTTGGAGTGTACCAGGTGATTTGGTAGTAGCAAAAACTATTGTTCGAGGTATGAAACATGTACTAAGTTTCATTTCTAAACACACAAGTGTTACAATTCTGAACACCTTTTTTCAACATGTTTAGAAATTTTACATGTTTGGGAGTTAAAACAAAGTGCTTCAACACATTTTTACAGTGTATATGTATTGTAAGTTTTAAATGTTCACATAAAATGTCCATTGTAATTGTTTTAGGGTGTTATCGGAGTTCTCTTCAATGATTTAAATCGTGGGGGTATAATGTAGGTCGATTGCACGATATTTACACATGGTTTACATGCCGCTAAGATGGCGGAGGCTCCTGATCCTCGCGGACAACATTTTGTTACGTGTCAGCGGTGTGAAGACAACGTACAATTCTACTGTGGACCGTGCAAAATAAGACTTTGTGTCAAATGTGTGTCTCCTCACCTGGAAACTAACGCTCCAGACCATAATATTGTGTATTATCACAAACGATTTGGGATGACAACTAAATCTCTTCACGATCCCCAGATAACTGGGACGATACCATGTGGATACCATGCCATGCTCTGCACTAGATATGCCGGAGACGGCCAGATCTGTGTTAGTTCGCACGTGTCGTTTGATATTAAACGTTTTTATACGAATGGGACTTTAGTGAATACGCTTACGCCTAGTAGTTTGGCCATGTACCTGACTCCAAACGAAGACGGCGTGTTGTACACAGGAACTGGAGGAATACGAAAAGTCAACTCTCAAGGAGATGAGTTATTTTTACCAATTGAAGGAAACTTAAAGGGCATTAAATTTGTGCAACCTGATACCATATTTGTCTGCAACTTTTCCAAAGTTGAAAAGTATTCAACTGGAGGAAAACGGCTTTTAGAAATTGAATATAACGACCAGGGAGAGCAGATTTATGGAAGACTTGAAAATATTTCAATAAATGGAAACGAAGATATTTGTGTGTCTGGGTATGCTAACAACCATGAATCCAATCATGTGGTTACTGTGGTTGATAAGTATGGAAAATATCGCTTCACTTACACCCCAACGCCTAAAGCTTACAATCATCCAGTGGATCTGTGTTGCGATTCCTCTCTCCATATTATTATAGTTTCTAATACAATACATGTGATAGACAAAGATGGTAACTTTCTAAGATATTTGTTGTATGATGGGATAAAAAATCCTTGGAGTGTGACTATTGACAGAGAGGACAATCTATATGTTTCTGAAATGCATGACGATTATTTACGAATGATGAAATATATGTATACTGATCAGTTCTTGGAAGTACTCTTACATAGTTCCATGGGATATTTTAGCGAACATTCTTGTAATTGTACTCATATATCATTTTATAATATATTTTTTCTTAAATAAATCAAATGCAAATTCATACATCGCCGTCATATATGTGCATGATTATTATTTGCAATTATTTCCCTTTCTTTTTTCTTTCCTTAAAATCAAAGTAAGTCTTTAAAGAGTCTCAAAGTCCCCTGACTATTTTGACATTCAAAGGGTTGATAATTTAAAGTAAGAGAAGAGGAAACTTTAGGGGTACTCTACAACAACATACTCAAGAAGTGGTGTTAAATAATATGTGGATAATATATGAAACTGAAAATTCTTAATTGATAAAAGGTCGTCGATATATCTTAATGTCGAATTGAAGGCCACAGCAAAAGATGCCTTCCTTTCATGTAGAAGTTTTTAAATAGACTCTACTTCATATGAAACAAAACCAGATCTGCTACAGTGTAATAACGGGGCACAATAAGTACCCACGGAATTTCCAACAAATTGTTGGAAGGCCTGGCCCCAAGACCATAAACTGAGAATAGACTTAAGTCAAAATTTTGATTTTTAATATCTTGAGTTTTATCTAATCTATTTGCTTAAAATTCTGCAATTTTATATAACATTTCAATTCAAATACATGATGAAAATTTTGTTTCATTATCAAAATTATTTCAGAAGTTATATAGGTTTGAAATTTTGACTCAAGTCTGTTCTCAGTTTATGGTCTTGGGGCCTGGTCTTTGAAAACTATGAATATATTGTCAATGAGAAACTCAAGCATCTTTTTAAAATCAACTTCGGATTGATAAGATATAAGATATATCGACGACCTTTTATCAATTAATAATTTTCAGTTTCATTCCCACGTTGGTTCGATAAACAATTTATTACATTTTCAACAGTGAAATACCGTGATTTATTTATTGAATAAAAGTGATATTCTCTCACAGTGTGAAAGGATACCAAAATGATATTCTCTCACAGTGTGAAAGGAAATCAAAGTAAGTAAAAATTAATTTCTGGCCTGTCATAAGATAGAGATATTAACTAAGCATCTTGATAGAGCTAAAACTGCAAATTTCTTCCCAAATATGTAGCTAAAATCCATGCTATGTAATGTTTTCAATCACGTAACTGCAGCGCTAGGCTATGACGTCTCAACCGCTTAACTATGACGTCAAGCCTATGACGGTGTTAAGAAAAGACAGAGGCAAAGGGAAAATCAAAGAAAATGTAATAAACAGAAAATTCAATGTTTTGTAGATGAATATGGAATTTATTTCACGAGTGGGACAGGATTTTTTTTATATTTTCACTCGTGCTTCGCACTCGTGAAAATATCAAAAAATCCTGTCCCACTCGTGAAATAAATTCCATATTCATCTACAAAACATTGAATATCCTCTATGTATCTCATTTAAAATATCTGTTCCATATATGAGTGTTTCCCTTGAAAAATGACATTGATAGTAACAGGGTTGGGGTCAATTACTTGAAAATGTAATTAAGGCTGACCTGCTTTTCCACGATTTTATTTTCGGAAGCTTGTTGCTTTTTCCGCGACAGCTCTATACTGCTTTTCCACGAGTGGTTTTCTTATATGTCATGTGTTATATCCTTTTTTTATACTTCCATTCCGCGATTTTTAAATGGTCCCGCTTAGCAATTAATATCAAACGGTTGCCGATATTTACCTGCATTTACCTGTATTTCAGTCCCCAAAGTGTTCTACTCGGTAGTGAGTCCTTACTCACATGGTGATAAAAAATGAATGAATCTCACATTTCACACTCGTCGGTGATAGGTTTTAGATGTTTTAAACTATGGAAATTGTTCATACAGAAACAGAAACAAATCAGGGGAACAAATGGATTTACATACAAAAAAAAAATAAATGTTCTAAAGAACGGGGATGTGTCATAGCGATATAGCGTTGATAAAATCTGCAAAGTCACGATTACAACTGATGCTGAAGGAATTACGGTGTTGAAAACGAAAAATACTCACAACCACCTCAGTAATGTGATCCTACTGCTTAAAATCTTACTTTTACCTCCCCGGAGTCAGCGCGGGGGGGGGGGGGTTAACCTGGTTAACGGAGGAGATACGGGGAAAAAAAAGTCGCGGAAAAGCAGTAAAACTTGTCGCGAAAAAGCAGGATTTTTTTTCGCGGAAAAGCTTTGTCGAATCGCGAAAAAGTGAGGCTGCGGTAATTAAATACTTTTAAATACACTGATAATTTTGTCAATTACTTGCAATTACAATTCCATTGAATTTAGCAAATGTAATAAATTACTCTAAATCACTTTGAAGAATGTAATTACATACATATCAATTACTTTAGTTTTATTTCCAAAAATTTTGAAGCAGCAATATTACATGTATTTAATTTGACCTTTCCTATTGCCCTGGTCATTGTGTTCATGCTGTATAAACATTATTATAGGCATTTAATTATTGAATAAATACAAACTCATGCCAAACGGTACTGGTATGCATCATGATAAAACACCTTCTTTTCTTTTTTTAATATTTAACTTGAAAAATAAATTATTTGAAATGTAATTGGAATGTAATTGACATTTTTAGAATCTATTTAAATACAATCAAGATTGAATGATGTATTGTCAGTATGATTAGAAGCAGACAATGATTTGTGAATTTCATATATATATATACAATGTTTTCATTGTATATGATTATTCCTCCACATCAAGAATTAATAATTTCTATATTTTATAAAAACTGATATCCAGCTATATTTTTAGTTAATTACATAAAAAAATCTTTCTTTTTTGTGTTTTGTTTATTTATTCCTTAAGCCATATGGCTTATCAGCTAGATTACATACTCATAATTACAAAATACAAAAATCTTCAACAAAGAGAAAAAAAATCACAAACTTTGAACACTTTACTGTACCAAAATGAAAAAAAAAAATTCAAAGATTATTTAACCCCGACCCCTCTTTCCCTTAAATAACTTCATTTTATTATTTTGCAGAATATAGTTTTAAATTCCTGAAAAGACTTTCAACAGATGGAAAATCACTTATTCCCATTTTAATCGGGCTCGACATCCATTTTCCCTCTATTTCTACATCCGGAGTGAAACCACTCGGCGTCAACACATTGTTTTGCTGATCGTTAAAGCCAACACTGGAAAAGATCCATACAAATGATGAGGTAAAGCTGTCTTTTATGGACCGTATGCATTTAGTTGTACATTTTTCACTACGTGCACTTTAAACGATGCACTACAGTGAATGTTACAAATATTGGGGGAAAAAAATCTTTCACATATATCAAAAGCAGAAATATTTGTAAACAATTGGGCCCTTGAATTGAATATTCTTGTAAAATTAGTTGCGTGACAATGTTGCTTGAAATACACAGACTTTTCACATTAACAACTTTGTAATCATCACATAGCCCCTTACTTTGCTTGTGGAACTAAGACAGGAAATTGTGCAGGTTGAATATGGTTAAGTTAAGCATACAGCAATAAGTTGAATAATAATATTTACATTTTGTATTGTGCGTTTATTGTTATAGATGAAGATGATTGTAAACGTAAATAAAAATATTATCTGTTAATGTAAATTAGATTTCTCGCATAATGACGTGCTGTTTCCTTTAACAAGTGTGTAGTGTGTAGCAATCTCATATTTCTGATTTAAACAACCTTAGTTTTCTCACATAATGATGTTTTGTTTCCTTTTAAGAAAAATTTAGCAAACTTATATTTCTGTTTTGTTATTTCTTTGGAATATTTTCTGATTTCCAACATAACTATGATATAGCTTTACCAATGGGTAATGTGTTTCATTTCCATATGATCATGTCTATTTGATTGCTTACTTTTTCTTAACTTTAGGAATATGAGAGGACGTGGAGGTCCAATGAGGGGTGGAATGATGCGACCAATGTCTCCCATGGGAGGCCCCTTTAAACCTGGACCCCCGTAAGTTATGGGATGCTAAATCATTAGGAGTGAAACGGTTCACCGCGGTATCAATACACCGCGGTATTTTTTCTCGGTTTGATACACGGTGCAAAATCTCTAATTTTCGGTTCGGTTCATTTTTCGATCGGGATCGTTATTCAGTCGGGTTTGGCATAAGGTAAAACACGTTACTCAGTATAATAAGTATAGAAAACGTAAATTTTTGATGACTGATAGCTTGTAAAATAATTTTTGACAGTCAAATAATTTTAATCAATTTCTTCTAGTCAATTTGCAAATAAAATTCGTAAAATATCTGACTAGATTTAGAAAAAAAAGCATAAAACAACATTGAATTCGTTTCCTTCTATCAAAATGTATCGTATCGAAAATAACCGAACCGAGACAAAATTATACAATACGTATCGAACCGTGAAGGAGGTGTATCGTTTCACCCCTATAAATCATACATAACAAAAGACTTGTTGTTTAAAGTTAAATGTGAACTGTCAGAATTGTGACTTGCCTCACAAAATATATGGTGCCATTTAAAATGATTTTTGAAGCAATGGGACATTTTTGTAGGAATATTCACTGTACATATTTTGATAATTCTGTATATTTTTAATGATTATGATTCAATCATATTCATTGTTTTTTTTTTATTACAAGATGGAGTATTTTTCAGTTGTGAAAAGCCACTTTGCTTAATGGATGAATTTACTATTTTTTCAACAGGTTTCGGGCATTCATTCCTCACATACCATTTGATCTGGTGCAGGTAAAACATAACTTACTACCTGATACATCCATTTTTTTCCTGGTTCCTATATTTCTTTTCTACATAAGTTTATTGCAAAAGTTTAGAATTTGACCAATTTCCCAGTTAAACATTTCTTATTTATATTGTACAGTTTTAAAGCATTCTTTTAATTTTATTTACAGTGTGAATCAACATTTCCAAGAACCAAACCAGCACCCGATGAGAAGGTTTTTACAGATGTAAGTATTAATTCATGTATGATTCCATACTTTTAGGCATTGAAAACTGACATTAAAGAAGTGTAGGACTGCCACGATAAACAGAAATATCGGTTAACCGCGAATCAAAATCTTTCGGTTCGATTCAGTAGGTTTTTCCCGGATTTCGATTCGATTCAGGTATGATTTTTTCAGACTAACATCCGCTGTTGTCAGGTGCATTCTGATTGGTTAATCAGAAGAAGTGATGGCAAATCATGAAACAATTTGGATTTTTTCATTCTAGTGTCACATAATTTTCAGTTTTTTCTTCAGAGAAGTGTAACAGTGTTCTACAATAAATACAGTCAAACCTATTGTCTGAAATTTAAAGGACATGAAATACCAATTGAAAGCGTTTTTCAGAATTTAACTTAGAACTAACAGGGGTGTGCAATTAGCATCGCCCGACGCCCGGGGCTACCATTTTTGAGGGTCGGGCTAGTGGTTTTCTGCATGCAGGTAGCCCTGTGGGTTAGAAAAATTAAAAATGCTAATGTAATATATATGAAAATCACTACTGATATTTTCACTCAATTTTTTGCTTTTAAATTCCCAACCAATGAAAAATTTCCAGGCAGCATGCTTCTTTTGTTCGTAAATCTCCATAACCTTATTCATTTTGCAGTACTGTACTACCTGACTTATTTACTTCCAAAAACGATCGTTTTTTTTCTAATCCAAATTTCCTCCATTCATGTGTTTATGGTAAATGAAGGTAAATTATTTACGATCACTTAATCAACTGAAAGATAAGTGTTACATGTGTATGTGATTTACATAAAATATATTTCCAGTGCATTTAATAATTGAAGTTGAAGGAAAATGATATCACTTCGTTTTAGATGAGCTAGTGCAATGCATCGTTAGAAAAAGGAAAAAAAAAATTTTTAAATTCATTTTTATTTTTGATTATAATTATTAATTTATACATAATCCAATTTTAATAGCGAGAATTAAACTTTAATTTTAAAAAGAATGACCTTAAAACCCTGACTTTTTCAACAATAATCTTTTTTTTTTTCAATATTACTTACTTCCCCCCCCCCCATGCATTTGGGCTAGTAACTTTTTACTTGGGGTTAGTAACTTTATAGCTGCCACTGGCCCATGGGCTAGTACTTGATTTTTTTAATTGCACACCCCTGAAATAAGACTCCTCTTCAACACATAACCAGTACTAGTAAATCTGTATTCATCCAATAGGTGTATGGGTTACTGTTGTTGATCTGTTCAGATATTTTGTAATTTATCTGTTTCTTTTTTGAATTTCCAGTGTCTACTGAAAAGGAACAATGACCTGACACCCTCTTCCCAAGAGCAGGCCTCGATCTTAGCCCTGGTCACCAAGATACAAGGTGTGATGGATAGTTTGGTGCTGGCCCCCACCTCATTTGATCCTGCAGTAAGCAACTTCCTTGTTTGACACTGTTAATGTATATTAATTTTTGAATCTCAGATGATAGACTATAGGTAAAAAATTTCCTTCAAATGAAAGAAAGTAGAAAAGTTAAAAATGATAGAAACTTAATATGTAAGAAGTGGATTTGCAGGAATCAACTTAATTGTATAATTGAAAAGATATATGACTAATGTATCAATTGGGATATATTTTTTTTCAAATGCGAAATTGATTTAATCAAATACACTAAAGATTAAACTGAGATGGGTGAATTCTCCATTGACAATTTTATATAAGATACCAAGTTAGTTGCTGTGTGTTTGTTGTGGAATGATTATTGGACATAGATTTTCTAAGCATTAGATTTAAAATTTATATATTTTTTTCATGAAATGTTGCTTCAGATTCTTATCAAGTCTGGCATACATGTATCTAAGGACATTTATGTGGTAACTCGAATGTCTTTGTTTTATATTGTTTAATACAAGTTCTTTGATATATTTATGTTTATAATATTTTATTTAAAATCAGCAAGTTATTTGAGTTATATGTGTATGCTACCAAGTAATACAAAGTTACAGATTTCACAAATTTATCTACCATTATTATACACATACATGGCCATTTTTATTCCAACATTAATATAAGAGCCCTTGATTTTGAATGCATGTTTTTCTTCACAAGTACCGGTAATGTCTGGTCATTTTATTTTCAAATTTAAGCGAACCATAAAAAAAAAATGCACACAAATTTTTTAGCATGCTTCAACACAAAATGGAATGCAAATATGTACCAAATTAAAAAAGAAATGAATTACATGTAAATTGAAACAAAAAAAGATATTTTTTTTATATTACAAGGTATTTATGCTAGCAAATATAAGCTGCTATTATACAGTTTGTGAAATCTGCAATATTTGTTGTGATGAACGATAGAAAAATTTTTGTTATTTTGTATAAATGTATTTATTACTCTAAAACTATTAAAGAAAATTCTGGTTCCAAAATTCACATTCCATACAGCTAGATATTCAATAAAACATGCAAGTGGGATTCCAAAATATTGAAGAGAAGAGGGGGAGAGAGGGAAGATTTGTTATAATTAAGAAATGAATTTTTACTGTTGAAATTTTTTTTTTAATGTAAATTTCTGTTCTGTTTCATCAGACTACTTGAAAATGTCACAATTTTTTTTAATTGTTTTGATCTGTCGAAAATTTATTTTCAGTGTTTCCAGGAATAATAAATTCACCTTAAATGCTTTTAAATTGCATGTAGTTGTGAACATTTTTCTGTAACAAATTCACAATTGTGAGAAAATCAATAATCAGTAGAGTGGTTTATCTTAAATCAACATATCATTAATGTAAAAAATGATCCATAAACTTTTTGAATTTTTGTGAATATACTTGTACTGTAGATCACCAAATTTTCACAACACCTTATTTTCGCGAGATGGTCATTTGGTATTTATAAGTAAGACATAATTTTATGTAGTTATTGATCTATATAATCTTTGGTACTACAAATATGCACGAGAAATAAATTTTGACGAGCAGGCAGTCTCAGGTCATGTGAAAATAAAATTCTCGTGAATAAAATGTGAGAACGGTACTTGAATTATATGACCTATATTAGGTTTAATTTTCTTTTGACAGCAAATCGAGGAGGTGAGACAGGTGGGGTCGTTTAAGAAGGGCACCATGATGGCGGGAAACAATGTGGCTGACATTGTAGTCATGCTGAAAACTCTACCTACAAGTATGTATGGGGATTTTGTAATATTTTAGATAGGAATCACACTATCTAAATTATAATTATTACTCTGATTTTTAAGTGTTGAAGTTTACTTATTCATTTATCTGATCTAGGGGAATAAGGACTTAAAATGAAAAATTCTTGTATCAGTAAATTTGAAATAATCAGTATTTTATATATATATCAGGGCTCGACATTAACTTTTTTCCTACTTGTCCATTCGGACAAATGAACAAGACATTTACTTGTCCGAACTTCAACTTCACTTGTCCGAAAAATTTTCAATAAAGATCTAATACTGTCAACTGGAAAACTAAAATAAAGTCCATTACACATAACATGTGCTTGATTGATTCGTGATGTTACATGTATTGATAAATACAACAAACACATAAAACGAAATTTTATCTACCGGTAGTCTTTCTGGTCTGACAACAACATAAATGTCCACAAGTGAACCAAACTTTGTTAAGTTCGTAAGTTCCATGCCTTTACAGTAGTATGCAATTAGTGAACTTCGATCACGATCGAATGTGAACTCAATTAATAGCGATCCCTATCGGGATCGAAGTCCGGTTTTTATGTACAGCTTCCGTCTTGAAACTACCGATTAACTTTCAACAGTCGTTTTTTTTTTTTAATTATTTAAAGACTCCTTTACATTAAAATGCACTTGTCCAATCGGACAAGTGCCCAGCAATATTCACTTGTCCGTAATTTTTTTTTCACTGGTACCGGATAAGCGGACAAGCGTTAATGTCGAACCCTGTATATACATGTATATATGGGTAGTTGTAATGCTACTTAAAAGTGTTGTAACGGCCAGATATCTTTAGTATATACATTGTACAGTATTTAAAATTGGAAGAAGTGTTTGTTGTATGCCTTGTGATTTGTACATTTGATATATAATGTATGTAATGTTTATATTTTTTTATTTTCCACAGAGGAGGCTGTGGCAGTGCTGGGGAATAAGATTGTGGAGGATCTCCGAACACAGGACCCTGACGAAGGTACGGCAATATATGGTGTATTGCATAAGCAGAGAAACTGTGTATTCTGGCTGATTTTGTTTTTCAATAACATGAACATAAAAATGTAGTTTTTTAATTATGAATAAAAGCCTCTTCTCTAAGTATTATATTAAAAAATTATACATGTATACATATATATGAACTATAAGACTACTTATTAGGAAAGTATATATTTAAAATTGAAATCAGCGTTAATTAGAATAGAGTTATAAGGAGTTCTGCAGGTTCCTGTATAAAATAGACCAAAAAAAAAAATACAAGGGACGTAAAGGATATGGGTGTGGCTTTTTCTGATGAAAAAGTTTTAAAGAACAGATCTTTTTCTTATCCAGTGTTGACCATGCTGACAAATGACACAGGATTTGAAATAAGTTCATCAGATGCCACAGTGAAATGTCTGATCACAACTATTCCCCCAAATCTGAAGAAACTGGACCCAGAATTACACTGTAAGTATTGCTTTAAGTCCTTCTAATACACTGCACACTAAAGAGTTTTTTTATGCAGTTAGAGTGATCTGCCCTTAGAGCAAAAATAAATTTAAATTTACAGTTTTTAACTCAATTTGTAATCAATTTAAGCATTCTTAACATTTTAATTGACCAAGATACATATATTAAACACTCTATTTGCATGTATTTTCCCAATTTAAACAAGCAACAGTGATTTCTGTTAATCTATACTTTGTTGCCTTTGAACATTTTTCATGGGGATAAATGGCAAGTTGAAAATGAAATAGAAAAAATTCAACATTTACACCTTCATACAAAATAATTTTCTCAATGTCCAAAGTTTTTTCATTGGTGAATAGATGGTCCTTAAGAAAGAACTATTGAAAAAAATGCTATTATCTGCACAAGTTTGTTTAACAAATACATGCAGTGTATTAGGAGACCCAAATGTCGTTTTTAACATTGATCTATGATAATTGCCTTATGTCTTTCTTGACCTTCATCTTGACCTTGTAGTGGACGGGAAGGTCATGCAGAGCCACCTGGCAGGAATCCGTCATGCTCGCTGGTTTGAAGAAAATGCATTCCATTCAAGGTAGTCATTTCTATGTAATATTTTTGATGTATCATTTAAAATTACTGCTGTAGGAAAGGGCTCAAAAAGGCTGAGTCCACTAAGTGAATATCCATACCACACTGTATATACTGAGTAAAATGTACAGTAAAACATGCTTATAACCAAGTGCCAGGGATAGACGATTTTGCTTTGTTAAAAACCTAATTCACTATATCCGTTAAGTTTACAATATATTTTAAAGCCACAGGGAATGAAAATCGCTTTGCTGTGATCGTCATTCCTTCATAAGCATGTTTGCTAGCCTATAAGCGTGTTTTACTGTAGTTTAAAATTTACTTATGTCATGTTTTTTGGGGCACAAGTTATATCATCTTTGTGGATACATGTATTTAGAAAGGAAACTGCATGAGAAGGTAAAACTTAATTGAAAATATGTTTGTCTAGAAGATGATTTAACACAAATGTACATGTAACCTTCAAAAACACATTAGGAGAGAAAAGATAATTATTTTTTTTCAGGCTATACATGTATTTACATGTACAGTATATTTCTTTCAGCTCACAGTTTCATTGATATGATTTTTTTCTGTTGTAGTATTAAAGTGCTGATAAGATTAATGAGAGATCTGAAGAATAGATTTAAAGGATTTGAACCCCTAACATCATGGATTATTGATCTGTTGGTAAGGTGTTTGATTTACTTCATAAAGTCCACCCCACCCCCCACAATTTTGTTTGTACTTGATACTTTAACAGATCAGTATTAATTATAATATTTAAAAATTTTTTTTACATTATTTTTGATAATTGAAAATAGTAAGTATCCTTTGGATTTGCCAACAGAGCTTTTATGCTATAAAGTAGGGTGCGAAACATTTTAATCTATTCACCAATTATTGATTACTATATTGTTCTAAAAAAAATTTTTTCCTTATTCAGTCTCACTATGCCATCATGAATAACCCCACAAGACAGCCCCTCCCTATCAATGTAGCCTTCAAGTAAGTGGACTCATTCTCCATTAATAATTAGGCTAATCATTTTATATAATTTTTCTACCTCCTGACAAAAGAGAGTTTAATGATTTTTTACCTAGTATGTATGATTTGCTATTAAATTAATAATTTAACTGGATACAAAGTGGTTTTTGTCGTACCAAAAGGTCAAACATGATATTTGAGATAAAGTTAGGGCTATTCCAGGTAAAAAGGAGGGGGATTATCTCATATTGGAAAAAAAATATTGAGTGAAACATATCGAATTAAAAACAGATATGTTAAATAAGGTAAATCCCATGAAACAACTTAAGATCATGGTACACCCAACTTTACATGACAGGTTAACAGGTTAAGGACTAGAATGTAACTGACATGATACTTTGTTTTCAAACCCATATGTGTCACCTTAATACTTTTACTCCATATGCAAAATATTTTGACTTTTAAATTCAGTACCCATGCTCAGACTGAAGTTTTTTCATCATTAGTCTTTTTTCCCCTACTTTCTGTTTAAAATAAAACCAATCTCCTGATTGTTTTAATAAGATTATTTAATGTACCAAATTATGTTTTGATCATTAAATTTTGGAAAGGAAAATCAAACAGGAAGCCAAGAGCACAAGAAATCCATGTCCCAGTTCTCCAATGACACTGCTACAGTGACCACAATCATATTACATGTAGCATGTTTTTCTGTAGTTATCTGCCCTTGTTCCAGTTTGTTGGATACAAGTTTCACTGTCAATGTAAAAACATGATTTTGACAATTGTTTAGAGCCTGCTTTTGATAAAAATTGATAAATGCTGATTTATACAAATAAAAAATAAAAACAACAGAAGTACTTTGCAGTAATAAAACCCTCATCATAAAATTTATCAGATGAGGACAACCACGTATAGGAATTTATTTGCTCCAGCCCCTACTACCCATGAAAAAATATATGAAGAACCATCCAAGGCAATCCTCCTGTACATTTTTTCCTGGAATAGCCCTTAGTAAATTTTCCACCTAGCCTCTTTTAATAATTATTTGTTTTGAAAGTTGTAAATGATCCATGAGCAAATAAGTTCATAAGGCTGTTTGGTATAGGTTTAAAACATTCTTCTGCACCTTGAGAGTTAATTGTTCAAAATGAGCCATCAGGAATTACATACATATGTAAGAATTGTACCATTGTACATATGTACATTGATAAGTTGTTTGAATACAGGAGATGTCTACAGTTGTTGGCAGCGGGATTTTTCCTCCCAGGATCAGTCGGGATCACAGATCCTTGTGAACAAGGAACGGTACGAGTCCACACCGTGATGACCCTTGAACAGCAGGTTTGTACAGGAAGTTGTGTAATGTACTGATCAGCACGGTATTTACATGCAATCAATTATTAATAAGTGAGGGGAAGTGATATCCATTATCAAGGTCAAAAGTGCCTTTATTTACGACATTTCCTGGTGATTCATAAGGTATATGGCAGTCGGTAAAAGTAATAAGGAAAGTTTTCTCCATATAAATTGAAAGTTGTAGTTTATATAAAAACTCTTTGTATACATGCATGTGTATTGCTGTGTGATTATTAAAGCATTTTATTTTTACTATTGAATTGGTTGCGTCTTGGTTATATGAACACTGTTAAGGGAAGCAACTCTTTTAAGCTTCACATTTTATTCATTTCACAAATGCCATCTTAGTGATTTCAGAAGCAGGTTAAAAAAATTATATTCTGAAAAATAGGATAGCGTTATGCTAATTAAGTTACAGTATATTTCAGAAGCAACTTCTCTGATAGTTGAAATTTGCAAAACTTTTATCTTTCAGACAGTACAAAAAATAACACTTTAGATACCATATCTTTAATTTTGCAAGCTGCATGGAAGTAAAAAGTACAACTTTAAAAAAGCATGTGAAGGACTTGACAATTCTGATTAAAATCAGATCTTTTCATACGCTCTGAAATACTGATAGTCACTGTACAGTGACAATCAGAATTTTGAAAGATAACAAAGATTTGATTTAAATCATATTGAGGACTAAATTGCAAAAATTTCGAATGACACAATTTTTTCTCTCTCCCTTTTCCCCTTTTTGTTCCTCTCCTCCCCCACTTTTTCCTTGATTTCTCCCCCTCCACCCCTTCTTTTACCCTCCTTCTCCCATTTATTTTGTCTTACCCTTGGTATGGTATGTTTGAAATCATTGGAAATGAGTGGAGAATACATAATGTTGATAATGCCATCTTTCTATCGACAGGATATGGTGTGCTTCACAGCTCAGACATTACTCCGAGTACTGACCCATGGAGGATTTAAACAGATCCTAGGCATGGAGGGAAACTCTAGTAAGTAAAATATATCTATACATCTAAAAATAAGGTTCTCAAAAAAAATGTTATAAATCTAAAACAAAAAAAAAAAAAAACAAAAAAAACAAGAGGCCCTTATTGTTCAGAGAATTTTATTTTAATTAAAAATAAAACATTCCAGCAGTCAAACATATTATGAAAGCTTGACTGGTTGCAAGATGTTTATGGTGGTGTAAGGTTTGGAGATTTAAATAAGAGGAATGGCTTTACATTATGGTTTATCTGATTCACTATCAATGGATTTTCATCTCTTCTCACAGGTATAGCGACAGAGATGAGCGTGTGGGAGGGGGTGGTTGTGACACCGTCAGACAAAGCCTACGAGAAACCGGAAAAACGGGAAGGGGAGGAAGAAGATGAAGATGGCGATATGGAAACACAATGATCACCATGGCAACACCAACAACTACATGTGAGAATTTGAAATTTTACATTTTTAAGAGTTTTTTGATCTACAGAATTTCATACTAGATGTTATAGTGTCGTGCATTTAACAAAGTACATGTAAATATTTACTGCTCTGAGCAAGAATGGTAAATTGTGCTGTGTTTAAAGAATTAGCTCAAATTAGAATTGATTCTGGCCCATAAATTTTGAGATAATGGCAGATTTTTAATTATTTATTTATTTAATTTTTTTGTTGATAAGAAGCTTACTGTGGAATCATTTGAATTTGTGGGGTTTAGTAATGTGCAATGAAAATTTTCATGGAAACACTATAGGGTGACCAAAAAATAAACAAACTTTGGTCCCCCACAAACAATGATGATTCCACAGTATTCATGTCAACGCTGAATGGAAAATAAGATTCTTTTGAACAGAATACATGTAGTCATTTGACTGTGACTTTACATTTACAACAACTGTTCATAAACTGGTTCAAAATAATGCAAAATAGGATTTTTCCGTTAGCTTTCTGGTTAGAAGATTTTGAGGGCATGCATTGAGTAAAAGATGTTCATATTTATGAACATAATGACAAGTTTCATGCTGTCTATGCTCAAGCAGATGTTTTCTAGGCCCCAAAAATCAGTAAAAATTGCTTATTTTACTTTTTATTTTTCATGCAAAGGTGGTGAAATGGGCTATACATGTATTGTGATATCAAACACAAAGAATGCCTGCATCATTACAATATTTTTTATTGACTTATCACTAAATAAGTTGTTTGCATTGTGCAATAAACAAGTTAAAAGTGAGTAAGAACATGTCTCATTTTGTTTATAAAATAATTGCAATGAATCAATACTTCTGTTATTTCATCTATTCACAGGATGTCCCTACTGCAAGAAATTTGTGTGGCAATTACAGAATTGCAGCTGACATTTTATGGACAAAAGTGGCTACAGCAAATGGAACCTAAGTGTGGTATACATTGTTCTGTTGAAACTGAGAATTGGAAAGGAAAGAACCAAAGGAATATACAAATGTACATGTATGTTAGAGAGAGAGAGAGAGAGAAAGAGAGGGGAGAGAGAGACTTGATAAAATGCCATATTTGTATGTTTTACTTTGTTTTCATCCCATTGTGACTGTATTGTTTAGTTGTATGTTGTTGAAATTTCCATGTCAGAACAAATTGAAAATTAATTCCTTAAGTTTAATTATTAAAAAAATGGAATTTTATTTATTTTACTTATATAACAGGCATGCATTTGCAAGTTCTTGCAAGTTAAAAAGGCAGCAGATATATAATTAGAAATCCTGATGAAATTTAAAAAAAATACAATGTTTAGTTATGAAAATTGTATGTGACTTTAAGTTAAATATTTTATAATTTTGATGGTAAGTATAAAGCAAGAATAATGTTTCTGATGTTAACAAAGAAAAATTTAAAGGATAAAATGTACATGTATATATTAATGTCATGAAATCTTGAAAAAAAAATTAAAAATTTTGAACAGTTCTTTTTTTTTTCTTTTATGAAACAGTATTATAATGTCAGACTTGTGTGATTGTCTTCTTCACAGAATACTGTAAACTTACTTATCTTAGCAGCAATCATATTTTAGCACCTTTTGCACTGCTTCATGTTTATCTGCTAATACATATACATGCTAATACATGATTCAAACCACAGTCTAACCTCATTATCTTGAAGTCAATGGGACCGAGAAAAAAATTTAAGATATCCGAGGATTTGAGATATCCAAGGTAAAATATTTAAAAAATAAGCGGTTGGAACTTCCAAATCACTTTGACATATCCATCGTATTTGAGATATCATGTTCGAGATACCGAAGTTCAACTGTAGTACATGTTTTGCAACGATCAAGTGGTCTAATTTATGATTGCACTATTCAGTTGGAAGATTGTGCTGAACTTTGAGTTCTCTTATTTATGTATGTTTGCAGTATTTATTAATAATGTCATGCTTGCATTGAGTATATATTATCACAGATCGTGCTGTTAATCTTTAACCTTGACAAGTGTTAAAACTCTATTTCATTATCCTGGAAGTCTCTGAATTTGGGTGACTTGCACGTTGGGTTTGGTTCATCTTTAGTATGGACAAAAGCTGCTACAGGAACTGTCCTTTAAGTAAAAGTGAATTTCATAAGATCAGTGAAAGTTTTATGAAGGAGACTTAGTTTTGAATTAATTGAGGTTTCCTTTGAATAAATTCACCATGAGTCTTTACCTTGGTTTTATAGTCTCTTTAATCTGAGCTTTCTTTTGAAATTTCTCATCTTGCTCATCCCGTATCTGAAGTTCTCCCTGTAGTCTAGTGATTTGTGATATGGAGATGTTGTTAACATTTCTGCATTAAAATAAATATTAATTTAAAAATTGGCTCTGTCAGATCAGTTCGTCTAGTTTGTTGGGTATTCTAGGACAATAACGATAGTTGGAAATGTGTGATAATTTGCATAATAGGCCCGTTATGCATAAATTATCCCACGTTTCTACCGTCATTAATGTCCCTGGCATACACCTCTTCTAGAGCAAATTTTGAGGAAATATTAATTACTAGCCAAAATTAAATATTTGGTAATTTTGGGATAATTTTCTTTCAAAAACACAGTTTTTCATATTTAGTCAATACCCCTGGTAATGAGTGCTGTTTTTTTCCCTAAGAACCTCGAAAGGGAGTATCATTTGAAAAATTTTCAATGGGCCAAGTACATTGTATGGTACTTTGCGTAAGACCTTAATTGAATTTTCTTAAATTTTTTGTTTGTTTTTTTTTTTTTTCCAGTCAATTCTTGATAAATAATGCAATTATAAAGTTTTAATGAGAATAAACTTTTAAAGTTATAAACAACAATACTTTTTTATTTCTCTGTTATGCAGCATTTTTGTAAATTTTTTGTTCGTTTTCTATGTTTTATATGTTAAAAGAAGAATAACTTATAGCCTTTTTTGTGCACATTACTGCCCAGCTGTACGTTTTTAATGTGCTTCAAATCTCTATCATTCAATAGCCCCGCCCCGTCAGGTCAATTTGCTGAGAACATGTACATACATGTAAATGACCTTTATGATGCTTACGGGCGATTCCTTTTCAAAATTTATAGATCCGCCACTGATCACTGTACTTACGAATGTGATATAATTTGCTGATCCTCCGTGGTGTTTCTCGTCTTGAGATATTGCTCGAGTTTATCAATGGTGGTCTGTAATGATTGACACATATGCTCCGCCTCTTCACGCGCAGCCTTCTCTTTCTCGAGAGCCTCGTTTCGGAGATTAAGTATTGCTTGCATGTGCTCAATCTTTAACATTAACTGTCTGCATCTGAAATTGACATTTTTCAACGAATGAGGAAATGCTCATGAAATAGGAAGGTAGCGAACAGTAATCAGGCTCAAAGGTCTACTGAAACAGCAAACACGGACTTCTAAAAACATCAGAGGTGGGATCAGGTGTCATGGAGGAGTAAGCATCCCCTGTCGACCGGTCACACCCGCCGTATGCCTCTTGTCATGATCAGGAAAACAAAAAAAAAATCCGTAGACAATTCAATGTATAACAGTTTGTATTGTGCTTATTAATAGTAATGATTTTTTCCATCTTTGGACTTCTAAAAGAAGGGCGGAGTCACCAAATTTTGGGGATATGTCATGTTAATTTCTGAGTTTATAACCTATACAGTATTATGTCTACATGATTTCGGTTTACTAATAAGATAGTAATGCTTTTGATGGAGACTTGTATACTTTGCAAAATGTTTCATAAATTAAACGTAATCTATTTTCAACATGTGTTACAAATATATCTTACCATACATAAATTATATATCATATATTCATCATACATGCATTCAAATAAGTGTATGTTGAAAAAAATAATACATTTATACTAAAATATATAGCAAACGTATATGTATTGAACATTTGGTAATCATACAACTAAAACTAAAAATATGTTGCATATATGTCATATTCATATCTATTTTCACCTGATTAATGTTTTTCTCTTGAAAATTGAACATATTGAACTTTCTAAATAAGTTTCTAATATATTACAAAATAATGTTTGTTTGAAACATATGTTAAAAGTCGTTACGCTTAGCAATCGTTGATCGAATAAACTTTAAGCATATAATTGTTCATTGCACATAATAAACATATTTTACAATATTTAGCTGGAAACGTTACATGTACAGTTAACACGTGCTACTGCATGCATTTTGATATGCTTTATAATTTTAGATACATGCTGATGAACTTACCTCGGCTGTTAGCAACTTACCTCGGCTGTTAACAATTTCTCGGCTGTTAACAATTTTACGATGAACTTACCTCGGTTGTTAACAATTTTATGAAGAATTTTATTTCTTTACCTTTCCTCCGTATCCTTGCGGAGTTTTCGCTCCGATTCCATTTGTGCAGTTAAAAACATCAACTCATCGGGTGACCTTGGATCATTTCGACTGATCAATGACCTTGTGATATTACAAAAGAAAAAAAAATCAATTAACTAAGTGAACATACTAACAAAATGAAGATGTTTCAAACAGTGATCAAGCTCATAAATTTGGTAAAGAATAAGAATCGTGAACAGGGGGGAAAAAAAACCCGAAGGACCTCTGTATTGATCAAGTAAACTGGAAATCTGTATTAAAAATGCTATTAAAATTATATAAATATTGCATGTAGTTGAGAGTAACATTAAAAATTTTCACCCCAAGAAAACCAATGTCAACCGAGGCGCAGCCGAGGTAGACGATGGTTTTCGAGGGGTGATAATTTTCAATGTTACACTCAACTACATGCAATATTTATTATTTTATACTGAATGTTTTATACAATGACATATAACAGTGAACCTTGCGCGCATAAATTCTGCGCAGTCGCTATTTTTTGGAATAACACCCGTCGTCAAGCAATGTTGACTGTTGCTACGCTTGAGGGCGTGGCTCCATCATTCAGCGGGTATTAGTGTTTTTTAACAAATGTTTGTCGACGAATCAGATTCAACTAACTTACATGAAAGTATAATATAATAGATTAACAACTGATGGGAAATGTGTTAGTCAAAATACGACCCAACAACAGGAAGACTTTTCCAAAAAAGGTCATTATAACGACCTTTGAATTTGCAAAATATAGACTTTAAACGTGATAGTTGAAAACCCTGTAACATTAACTTATTTTTCATAAGCCTGCCTCTATTTAAAAAATATTATCATACTCAGAACATATGCTCTTGAGTATCGAATAAGTAGGGAGACATTAACATCATATGCAGATGTTTTTTGGAATATTACTTCTCGGAACATAAATAGGGGAAGTTGACGATGGAAAAGCTGTCATCCTATTTGATATATAGTTAGTTGTTAGTTGATATATAGTTAGTTGTTAGTTGCCCATGGTCTAAATATAAATCAGTAAAATATCATAGTATGAAGCAGATGTGACAGACTCTTCGATGTACTTCAGAGTACTTGTGTATGGAATCAGAATCAATTTTTAAAAAAAAAATTTTTAACAAAGTAATTTTGTAGATCATAAACATTTACGAGTTTAATTTTAATTGAGGAAACAGTTGTCTATGATGTAAAAAAAGACTGCCAAGGAATGGTTGTATAAAAAGGCATATTTAACATTTTTCGAATAAAAAACACAGGCACATTAATATCTAAAAGTTTCCCAAAAATTTTGATAAAGAAATGATTCACAGATCAAAAACACTTATCATTCAACAAGGACATAAAATAAATGATATGTTTTCTTGTCTTCTAAAATGCATTCTCAAAAACCTTTCTGATCCAGAGCCCTATTTATTATTATTTTTTTCATCAAAAATTTCAGAATTTGTGATTTCTTTGCTTCTGTCTGTATTCTAGAGGCCAACATTACCACATACTCATGGCAGAGATATATCATTTTTAATGAAAGTAACAATAACAATGCGTAAGTTGATTTTGAACCTTCTGTCCAAATTTAGTTATATTTAGAAAATAATTAAATGTGACTTTTATTATTTATTTATATGGCACTTGACCATATTTATTTTAGTAAAACCAATCTTTCAACCATTTTCTTTCATTTGAAGACTTAGAGAAAGAGAAGCACAAAAATAATTTCGCAAACATTGATATCCTGAAGAAATTTTTCTTAAAATATAAATGACATAAATCACAGTGTACCTGTTCAGTGTTACATAAAGCACAAAACAGTGTTCTGTGTAAATGTACAACGTACCTGTTCAGTGAAACGCACTCCGATAGTGGACGACTTCTATCATAACTGAAAGACAATTGAGTACAGATATATTTAATGTACATAAAAATAAGTATTTGCTAAGAAAAATTAAACATTTTATGTTTTGAATATACTGATATTTATAAAATAAGCAAAATGAATCGTTAAAGGAGAGATGTAGTAATTTGCAAGGTGTCTTGTGATTTGTGATATTTTTA